GTAAACCTAAACTCTCGTGGTCGGGATTTAAACTGGGATAAACGCTGACGGCGCAAGCATCCAATCTCGCTGCGGAGCCAGCGGTAACACGTGCATCGGGGAAAACGCGAACGCCCAAACGAAAGTCGGCGTATTCCCTAGCTACGTAACCGGTACCGTTAACGCTTATTCCAGGTCGAGGTGGTGGTAATACGGTCACGTAAGATTGCACGATTGGGACTGGCAGTTCTGAACCTTCGCTACCTACACAAACGACGGCAGTATCGAGACGGAAATTTCGACGACCGGGAGTTGGGAAGCGTCGTGCATTAGAATATCCTATACGACGAAGGAGAGTTTCGACGTTCGTACGATTATCACCGTCTATGCGTACCTCCGTTAAATCGGAATTGGTAAGCAACTGTGTACCTGGTTGAAGTAGGTCCATGGACGGTACGTGTAAGCCCTCTTGACAACGCCTCAAACAGGATAATACGTCAGGTTTTTCATTACGACCTACGAGAACCGAGAGACCGGCGAGATAACCACGAAAATGATGTTTCGTTCTATTATCCGAGCCCTGCCAACAAGCTCCAACAACGAGCATCGTATTAACATCTTTCGCGGGATGCAACGGCCAATCGTCGATAACCTCAGGGTTCTTCTCATCCGTACGCCATTCCTCGCCATCGACAAAAAGACTTACGCGTGGGAAGTCGACTTGTATGGCATAATGATGCCACTTATCGTCGCATACTTGACCGAGCTTCCAACGCCACTCAGCCGGACGGAAGATGTTTGGATCGCCTTCAGAGAAGTCTCGTCGTAGTAACAAGATCAGTCTACAATTTCTTATGAACAAAGCGTAATGATGCCTGTTCATCTCTGAAACACGAGAGAACAAAAGCGTTATTATTATCCACGAGTATGAGAAAGATCTATTTTTTAGAGGAGGACAAAACAAAAAAAAAAAAGAAAGAAAAATCAGCACACCGAAAGAAAGAAAACTTTGAATGCTTACTATGATCATCAGCGGCACAAAGGATATGTTCCTTAACGTGAGGATCTTGCCTTAACCTTGGACGATGCTTAACCCATGCGCTGATAGTAAACTTTTGTGCCAGAGAATGTTCCAATACATTATTCGGTACTATTGCGGCTGAATCAACCCCATCAAATTCAAAAATTTCATCGGCATCCCTGCCCTCGTCGCGAGATAAAGAAGCGGTCCATGATGTAGATGGTCCTGGTGTTGGTAAAAGATCAACGCTATCGTGAGATGCACCGCAAAGTTTTCGTTGACTTCGTACGGTATAAGTATCGCGATCGCAGCCCTTTCCAATGTGATCGGTCACGAGATTCAAGGTAGCTCGAATGTTACGCAATATACATGGTGCATCACAGAGGTCCAATTTAGCAGATGGTAAGAGTGGTTGAGATCCTGAACCAGCAGCATAGTCAACTCTCTCTGGAATACCTCTCCAGCCTGGTGTGCACACTCGATTCACCTTAATGGTCACCATGGCTGGTGCTGATTGTTTCATTCCACAATCATAGGCTACCACGCTCAGAATGTAATTGTGGGAACGCTCGTAATCCAATGGCTCTGTGTTACGTATAGCACCTTCATTGTCAATAATGAACGGCTGGTCCGCTGTTAGAATCTCGTATTTGCATATGTCCCCGAATTTCGGAGTGCAATCTCTGTCAGACGCTTCGACGCGTACAACCTCCTCGTAAAGCCGTCCTTCATCTACGGTGCTAACGTAAGCTGGTTGTAGAAATTGTGGAGCATATTCGTTAACATCTACCACTGTGATATGAACCGTTGCACTGAAATAACATCGACGTAATTCTTTATTTTTATCTTAATCATAAGCAAAAAGAAAAAAAAAAATTTAATACGATTAAAAAAAAAATAAACATACATATTTAAAAGAGAAAACTTTGAGAGAGAAAAATAATAATATTAATAATAATAATAATAATTTTAACGACGATAATAATTATAATATATTAAAAACATTTTTTTTATCATAAAATACGATATAATTATTCTCATTTTTGAAAAACAATAAATTACAGCATTAGCGCAAAGACGTGTGCATATGACTTTGGCATTTTGCCGTGCGAAGACTCTCGATCTATCGACCCAAATATTTAACATCATTTCTTAAACAAATGTTCAAGAGTTAGAACAATGTTTGTTCTATCGAAATATTTCCTCTTAAGTTTCTATCTAAACGTTTTCTCTCTAAAGTACTTATATACATATATATATATACATATGATTATAATATACAATACATATGTGTATATATATATCTATATGTAAAACATACTTCTCAGATTGTCCACCGTTACAGCCAACAGCTGCGATGTCAAATTTGTAATTACGTCGTTTTTCACAATTTAAAACCCTTAGGGCTCTTAATTCGGCCATTCCCTTCTCTTTTAATACAATTTCGAAAGGTGCCTCGCCATGGTGTTTATTCGCAATACGAAAAGAGCACACTTTAGCTCCTGATGCTTTTATCTGTGGAGTCACCTCAACGAGAGTTTCATTCTCCTTGACCAGGCCGTGATAACCGCTCTCGAGACTTTCAAGATCCAATCGCGGAACTACGAACATAAATGGAAAAAAAAAAAATATGGCAAAAAAATAATAAAAAAGGCAAATAAATATTAGGAACTATTTTCTTTTTTTTTTGTTTTCTTTTTGTTTTTTTTTAACTTTATCAAACATACGGCGCATACATTTATGTTGAATATTGAGATTTCTCGTATTAAAATACCAAGGATTATTAACGAAGTAATCCAATATTAAAATAAATATATGCATGGGAGTGGAGGTGGGGTTTCGGGGGGAAAAAGTTAATTAGAAAATTCTCGTTAAATCTATACAAATATTATATATTATGGGAAAAAGTTTAATAAAAATATTAATGATTAGAGAGAAAATACAAAATTGTTCGTCCTAATTTTAAAAGACATCGTTTATCGCAATGCAACACACAACTGCAAATATAAATCGATAAGGAGTACATAGTTGGTTATCAGTGAGTATCCTAGATATGTAACACATATATGTACCAATGTATAGACCAAATCTCTTTCTCTCTTTCTCTAACTCTAACACACAGTTACATATAAAAAAAAAGAAATAGGCTTTTATTGAGAAATCCTGAAACGGGTCTCGGGTGTTCTTTTGAAATTGTCTAATTTTAAATCGACACTAGAAATTTTCTCATTTCTTTTAACAGAACAAAATTAAAGCTCGGCCTGATTCACTCTCATATATATATATATATAATACCTATATATATATATATATACATATATATAGGTAGGTAAATATATTTTGTTACACATGATTCGTAGAACAGGAAGAAGAAGCCCGTAGAGTCGTATGTGTGTGTCATCGTCATCGAATTTTGTAAAATAGGTAGAGAATGAGTGTGAGAGAGATAAAGAGAGTATAAAAGAGACCTAGGGGAGGTTGAGTAGGGGAAAATTAATTCGTTTCTTTCTTCCAACGAGAACGATCGTTCTTCGCCCCCTTTTCATGGTCTATCGACCGCCCCACAGCGCGAGGTGCATTGCTTATATATCGGAGCACCTATCGAGGAGTGAGACCGGTCAATGAATTCGCCATAACAGTTTCGGGCGAATGCAGGTGCTATAGAGAGTGAGAGAAAAGAGAAAGAGAAAGAGAAAGAGAAAGAGAAACAGACAGACATACAGGACATACAGGGCAGTCAGACAGACAGTCAGACGGACAGACAGACAGACGGACAGTCATATAGACAGCAAACAGACAGACAGACAGACAGCAAAAAAAGGGAAAGATAAAGACAGACAGAGATAGAAAGAAAGATGGATGGATGTAGGGGAGGGACTAAATGAACAGGAGATCGCACCTGTAAAGGTATCACCTATAATAATAATAATAATAATAATCCTTGAATATTTTTTAATGAAATTCTGAAAAATATAGGAATAGATTTAAAAAAACAAAAAACAATATGCGTCAAGGATCAATCGTAAATATATACTGGGAATGTATATGTATATTTTGTGAATAGCATTATGATTAAATGTAGGACATACACGTTCGAAAAAGCATAAGAGAGTGAGAGAGAGAGAGAGATAAAGATAAAAAGAGAAATGAAATCACCTCCATGATCGTTGAAGGAAGTCGGTGTTGACTCGATGCTAGCGTGGGAGACACTTAGTAGGGTCAGCCCAAAAAACACAACACTCGTAGCAATAATCATCGTTTATTTCGAGAGAATATATTCCTTAATGGAATATTATATTATCTCGATTATCCTCCGATTGATTTGTTCGTTTAATAAACTCTTGTTTCCAATCACCCTCGCGAAATCTCGAAAAGTTTTTCTTTTTTAAAAGGACATTACCAGCTATCGCGCGACTTGCTCGCGACACCAAGCACAATCGCGAAGTCAATATTTGAGAGGAATATCGATTTGTCAGACCGTGTGATTATAATTTACTCCGCTATGCTAGAAATGGCGACACTGGCGCTTTTGTTCTCTCTACGGGAAATTTAAAAAAAATTCTATACTGAGACTTTAAAGAATTAATAAATATATATTTTTTACGATAAAATTAAAATACAATTGTTATAATAAACAAAAAATTTAAGATTTTATTTTAATATATATATATATATATATATATATATATATATATATGGTATTTTTAAGAAACCTCTTTTTTTAATATAAGGAAAGTATTAATAAGTTATTAATGTTTTTTTTTTTTACCATGCGTATATTTATCTAATTAAAATGATATTACAAAAAGAAATATAATTACAATATTTCTTTTCAATAGTAAATTATATTCTTTAGAAAAAAATTGCACCGATACATAGAATTTTTTCATGAGTATGAAATTAATTGTTTCATGTTAATTCGGCTTATTATAAGTCGTAGCCCTTTTTTTTATGTAAACTTGTCTTAAGGTATATTTTGAAGCATAGTTAGACAAAAACACATATTACTTGAAAACGGTTGTATAGCGACTGTTTTAAGATGGCGGACTCGAACGAGAAGTTGTTAGTAGAATTACTTAAAAAACCTGGAAATAATGTGTGCGCGGATTGTGGAGCTAAAAGTGAGTGTTTTATTTAATAAATTATTATTAATATTTTATCTATTTAACTCTTGTCAAGATCTATTAAATAATAACGCGTAAAAATGCATTTTATTGAAAGAAAATGTGGTTACGTTTCTTGGAACACAATCATTCTAAATGATTATAAATTGTTTAATGACATAACTAAGAGAATTATTTGAGTTTTAAATAATACATTTTATCGACATTGTCTTTTTTTATTAATTTTCAAGTATAAATCGTTGTGTCAAAGTTGTTTAGTTATTTATAATGCTTTGAAGTACTTTAGTTACTTTAAAACGTTAATAATAATTATTGCAAACTTAGTGTGTGCATGTGTATGTGTATGTTTGTGAGTGTATTTTTGTATACTGAGTTAATAATAATATTGTATTAATAAAACAAAATATAAAATGTATATATATATTTCAGACCCAGAATGGGCTTCTTACAATATAGGAATATTTGTCTGCACAAGGTGTGCTGGAGTACATAGGTCTATGGGTGCACATATTTCCAAAGTAAAACATTTAAAATTAGATAGATGGGAGGACTCTCAAGTAAATAGGATACGTGAAGTAGGTAATATAGCTGCAAGACTACATTATGAAGAACGTGTACCACCTTGTTATCGTAAACCAAATGTGGATGCTCCTCAGTAAGTTTTACATATATAAATACATTTATTTAATATTTACTTTAAGATCTTTTATCTCTTATTTACTATTATTTAATATCTCTAAGACGAGTCAATGAGATTTTAATAACTAATAAAATATAAATATAATATTATATAATTTGTTTCTTATTATGCAGGAAGTGGTTACATACCACAAAACAGGAAGTTTAACATAAATGTCACTATTAGATATTTTTTAAATTAACGCACCTATTTCAATTTATCAATATTCTTGATTTAAATAAATGCAGAAAAATTGTTTTCATTGACCAACAGAGTTTTGGTAGAACAATGGATACGAGCAAAATATGAGAGGGAAGAATTCTGTCATCCGGAAAGGCAGAATTATGTATCAGGATTTATGGAAGGATTTTTAATGAAACGTGGAAAGGAAGACTCGCGATATCATCCTCGTAAATTTGTACTTTGTGAAGCGGAGGATACTTTAAAGTATCATGTTAAAGAAAATAAGGTATATTTAAATGAATAATTCAAATCTTTTGAAACATTTAATATTATTTATTTTTTTTTTTTTTTCGTTTCATAAAGGAACCAAAAGCTATACTCAGGATATCAGAATTAAATGTAGCCTTTGCTCCAATTAAAACTGGTAACCAAAATAGTCTTCAAATATCTTTTATGAAAGATGGCACTACAAGACATATCTATGTATATCACGAAGATCCAGAAGTTATCACCAATTGGTATTTGGCTATAAGATGTGCGAAATTACATCGCTTACAAGTTGCTTATCCTGGTGCAACAGAGGCTGAATTATTATCACAACTTACAAGAGATTTTCCACGGGAAGGATTTCTTTGGAAGACAGGTCCTAGACATAGCGATGCTTATAAAAAGAGATGGTTTACATTAGATGGAAGAAAACTTATGTACCATGATGATCCTATGGTTTGTACGCATACTTACATGTGTGGTGTATGTGCATTTATTTCTACAAAATACTCCTTTAATATTTTTGTTTCTATTGATATAAAGGATGCACATCCAAAAGGTGAAATTTTCTTGGGTCATAGTTCAGAAGGATTTGCAGTTAAAACAGGAGTTCCACCGGGTGCTAGAAATCAAGGTTTTTCCTTTACTCTTGAAACACCCGATAGAAGTTATCTCTTGTCTGCTCAAAATGATGATGATAGAACACAATGGATGAATGTAATACAAAAAGTAATAGATAAACCTCTTACTCCTCAAGATGCAACAGGTGAGTATTATTTATTGATTTAAAACGATTTGGTTTATCTGTGTCATTCTTAATTTCATAATCTAATTTATGTCATAATATGTCATTGCAGTAGCAGCACGTCTTGTAAGAAAACGCACAGCAAGTGGAACGATGAATATATTTTCTTCTGCAAGGTAGGGCTGGATCCCTCTTAGGCATCTTTCCTAAATATTATCATATATAATAATTAGACAAACCAATTGAGAATGATTAAAATAATAAAACTAAGTTTAGATAATATGTTTCTCGATATGCCTAGCAATACAATAACATTTTGTAGCTACATATTGTCGTTGAATCACATATATTTATATATCATTGCACGCTACGTTGCTTACATCGTATACATAAGACTGGTCAATGGAATTTAATGCAAATATAATATAGGAACAATTGTTTTTTTAAAAACAAGTTTTTATCTGACAATATTTGTGATGTACTGTCAAAAAGTAACAGACAGTATTATACATATGTAGTAAAGAAAAACTTTTACTTGGCAATAGTATCTTTGTGATATTCCATTATATTATACCTGAGAAAATATATAAGTGTATTAATATACACGATTTATATATTTTGGTATAAATGCTTTAGATTAATAAATTACTATACGCAACTTTTGTTTCTTCTAAATATACATTAAAAACAAGAGAAAAGAAATATTTTCCAAATTGAATTTTACAATAATACAAATTGTCTTTGCAATTAAAACTTTATATACTTATTCGAAATAGATTTTAACTCTATCTACTACGTAATACTATTAGTCTTTACTCTTTTATATATATACATAAATGATTAGTCAAGATTTGTAAATAGAAACTTAAAAAAACAAAAATTATAAGATCATTATTTTTATTTTATATGACATATGTCTGCACATACATACAGGGTTGTTAATTTAATATTATAGTATCTCAAATAACAAACTTATTTACTCATTTTTATCAAATTTGAGTAGATCTTTGTTAATTTCATCAAGAGTGTGATATTGAAGGATTCTTTATGACAGTAGACACATTTTATTGTAGCTTCATTCATTTTGTTAATGGTGCTACCAAAATGACTATATATACCTACTGTTTTACAAAAACTATATCTTACATGCAGAGTGTTAAAGTGTTTATATTATGAGTCGTCGTAAATTTAATGATATTTGTTTAATAAAGTATTATATACATTTTTTTTTTCTTTATAAGACATCAGTACTTGAATCAACATTTTACAAATTACATAAAAATAATTTTGGATGTTTTATTAATTATTACATCACAATGTTTTCATTTGTTACATTAATTTTTTTTTTTATACTAAAATTTCTGATATCACATAAGTTTATAATTTAATAGTCAGTCAAAATAATTATAAATTTTCATTGTAAATTTTTTATGATAAAATAATAAAAAGGAAAGTTATATTTAAAATAGTCATGTTTGACTTATTGTAAAGTTTGTTGTAATAATATGATAATAATAATAATAATGATATAATAATTGTAACAATTATACTATACTGCTATAATTGCTATTGATACTATACTACTATTACTACTAAATATTATAATAATAAAAATAATAATAATGTATAAAGGCTGCCAATATATATATATACAATTATTTTGTAGTGTTAAATAATAAAATATAGCAGCATGTCATACTATTTGTAGATACATCAAAAATAATTTGCTTATGCTCTTTAACCGAAGGAAATAAATAATAATAAGATAACAAAGATACAAATATTGTCATACTTTTAATAATAACAATAACTTAAAAAAAAAGAAACAGAGAGAGAGAGAGTGAAAGTTATATAATTTTAATTTAATATTTATCATTAAATTTAACTAAAGGCACATTTTTTATATAGCAAAGAATATTCACCCAACATAATGCTGCAATACTAACATATGTGATACGTAGACTAGGGGGAATTAATACAAAATTAAAAAATTGTACAGGTAACCAAAATAGGCATGACGTCTGAAAAAAAAAATAATAAATAAAATAACTTTAACAATGATAAATGGATTAGGTAGACAAATAATTTTGATACATATTTTATATTTGAATAACTTACCTGAAAAGTTTTAACAAACTTTGTTTTAACTTCTTCTAAAATATCAGATTTGCTTTCCATTAAACTCATACCTATAACAAATGATGAAAAAGTTATTCGTATCAAAAAATAAAATACTATAATGTGAAATAAATATACTAACTGATAAAGAATAAACAGATCAGTGGTGGTGTTAATACAAATTGATCAACAAATAATTTAGTTAAAACCACATTCATAGATTTGCCTTTGTAAACTGTATCCAACCATTTGTACCTGATTATATAAAGGTTTTATTTTTGGAAATAACTTTTAATTATATATATATATATATATTATCATTTTTACGTTAAATTTATCTTTAAAAACATTTTAATTCATACTAAATTTCTAATAGTCCAAAAATAGTTTTGTAATTATCTTATATACGTATATTCATTTTATAATACCATCCATGTAACAATGGTCCTGCTAAAAAAAAACCATAAATAGCGAATCTTTTAAGACGCGGCCAATTATATTCTTCCGTTGTAATTGAAGATTCGTTATCTAATAAACCTAAAAAATTATTAAACTTTTTTAACCATACAAATATTGGTTTATCAATATTATTCTGTGTTTCTACTTCATATGTAGACACTGGTTGAATAATCTAAAATATAAGTAAATAATAAAATAATTAATTAAAAGTTTATTTTTTTTAATTAATAAAATTGTAAGTTATACCTTAAATTTTTTGTTATAACTTTGTTGCGCAAATTCAGCACATGTATAAAAAAATCCATAAGTCATAGAATTCAAGAGCAATGGTCTCCTTCGTGCAAAGTTACTTAATTTTAATAACATAATGAATATCGGCTTTACTGTTATTCTCAAGAAATATTTACAATTATAATTCTTATATGATTTTTTTTTCTCTGGACGCTTTATACATATTAATATTTTAAGTAAAATTATTATGTTTGTATTATAATAATTCTCTAAAAGAAAAAAAAAAAAAAAAAAGAAAACCAATTGAATTTTATTACAAAGTACCAATTGTCATTACAGTATCTCTGGTTGTTCAAATTAAATCTCGTAATGAATTGGNCATAATGAATATCGGCTTTACTGTTATTCTCAAGAAATATTTACAATTATAATTCTTATATGATTTTTTTTTCTCTGGACGCTTTATACATATTATGTTCATCCATCCAAATGTTATGCATGCCATTTAAAATTAAAAAAAAAGAGAGAGAGAGAGAACAAAAAAAAAAATAGATATTTGCACGTACCTTAATTTGTAAGAAAAAATACTTTGCTATGAATTTAAAAATGACGAAATATTATTTTAAAATAACAAATAATCGTCTATTGTTTTTTGTTACTAATACTTATTACATCAAACGATTGTCAATTTTATCCAAAAATTTCATCGAACCAAATATAAAAATACAACTTTTAATTTAAGAAAATATAATAAAAAGTATCTCTTTATATATGATCTGAGTGTACACATATCTTACAACATTCGAACTAGTTATAACAGTAAATCTCCGTACGTCCCCCGTTATCACTTAAGTTTAATCTATCATGTCATCAAACCACTTAAATGATAATAAACCTCCATTACACTTAGTGTCCTCGCTGTATTTGAATAAACTGTAATAATTAAATAGACAGTAATATGTACTATTCAAAAAACATTTTAAAACAAAAAATATCATTTTTACGCGTTATATATTATTATTAAAAATAATAATATATAATTATAATAAATATTATTTTTAAAAAATATATATATATATTTTTTTGTAATTTAAATTAAATTATAATTAACAATAATTGTGTGTAATTGTAATTATAATTTATATTATTCTGTATTATAACATTCGTCCGTGATAGAATTTATTGTTTCTGAATACAACCAATTTTTCCATTCATCATTAATATTATTTTCCATAGTAATTTCTTGAAATATTTCACTTCTTCCGACCTATTTAATATATAAAATAGATATTATATAAATATTTCTTACAATAAATATTTTTCTTAGATTTCTATTTAAATATAATTTACCTCGTGAAAATTTAACTTTCGGAACATATTTATACTCTTTTCATTATCAACCATTATTTTCACTCGATATTTTTGTACATTTAATTTATCAATACCTACAAATATAATAATAATATTTTATAAAAATTTAATGCATAAATTAAAACAATATTATGTAAATATGTAAATATATTATACATACATAATGCATATGTAATTAAGAGCTAACCCTTGATTTACTCTGATAAAACATTTATTTTACAGAAGTATCATGTAAATGAAAATAGTGTTTTACAGATACATATTTTTTCTTTTTTCTATTTTCGAACGAATTAAATATTATATTTAATAATTATTAATACAAACCATAACGGAGCATAAGTAATATGGCTTCCCACCCTCTCCCTTTATTTCTGCTTTCTTTTTCTGCTATCATGATTTCAGCTTCCGCCGTATATTTACATTCCATGTCATTAAAAAATAAATTAGTATCACCGATCATAGCAGCTATATATACGGTAATAATTAAATAAAAATTATTCAATAATAATATAATGATTGTATCGTTAATATGTACGATTATTAAATATTATTTGTTTTATAAGTTTTAGGGGTTGCAACCTACCGATTTCATCCCCTGTCGAATGGAAAATCGATTTGTCTAAAATGATGAAGGTACATTCTGAAAAAAAATATATATTTAAAGAAATGATTTCAATAAGTATTTCGTATTGTTATAATAATTTTTCGTTTAAATTTTTCCAAATTAATGGCGGACGAATTTGCTATATTTACGCATACATTGTTTTGCTATTATTCATGAAATTACGTAATTTTTAAAGATTTGAATAAAAAAATATTAAAAATAATTCTTTTTATATTAAATAACAATAAATATCTTTTATATTTTTCGTTTAATTATTAAAATAATCTTCAATTAACTTTTCTCATCCAATAGCCAATCTTTTTGCATTTCAAATTCTTCCGCCAAAGTTAATGGTTCCGATGCAGTGAGATATTGCAATTCTGGTGATTTCATCCATTCGTGATATCTGAAAAAGAAACATATTAAAATGATTAATAATTTGATACATATATGCATGTGTACATATATAATTTCATTTAATTTCTTTTAAATATGTAAGATATTTATTTAGTGCAGTAAAAATGGTGGAATTGAAAAAGTTGAAATATTAGATGAGATTCAAATGTTTAACAGGATATCTAATAATACCTCATAACGTGTTTTTCCTTATAAGGAATTAAAATAACACTTTGGCCGATAATGCGAGTGAACTTGTTTTTTTTCATTATGTTTAAAAGATTAATAAAAAGATCTTAAATTCATTTGAAAACGACGATGGAGAAGAGGTTATCTTGTCAACGTTCATCGATGCTCTGCCATATTGAATTTGTCGGGGGTATGATGTTCCAAGGGATCGAAATATTTCTATAATATTTTATTGTGCCATACATTGTATACCTATATTACGAAATATTTTCAACTATTTATAATATTCACAATTCGCATCAGGAAAAATGGCTTATAATTTCCCTGGAGTACCAAGCGCAGCTATGTCACCAATGGGTAAACCTCTTCGTTATAATAATCATATACTTTTAAATTCTACATTTTTTTTTTCTTTAAAAGTATTTTTATTAAGAAATATCGATTTTTTTTTTTTTTAATAAGGTATGGGTCCCATGGGACCATTAGCACCAATCACAGGACCTCAAAGTTTTATGGAACTTACTGGCCAAGGATTTCCTCCTTTGCCACCGCCTATACCTCTTCCTGGAATGAATGACTCACCATTAGAATTCAGTACAAACAAAAATCAACCCCCAGTTGTACGTGAAAGTTCAGAAGATAATAATGACAGACGAAATGATAAGAATGACAACAGACGTGAACGAGATAGTCGCGATGGTAGAGAAAATCGAGATAACAGTAGAAGGTATTTATTGTTTTTGTTAGTTGTGTATCATTTAAAAGTTGTTTTGAAAAAATATATAATTAAATATTGATATGTTTTGGTTTAGGTCAAGAGGTGATCGTAATGAACGAAGGGAGAGAGATCGAGATAGAAGAGAAGAAAGAAATGAAAGAGATAGAAGAGAGGACAGAAGAGTAGAAGATAGAAGCAATAATATTAATTCAACGAGTAACAATAGTAGTCATAGCAGTTCAAATAACGCTGACATGCAATCTAATACATCTAGCAGCACACCTAATTTAGGACCACAAATGGAACCAACAACAGGAGTTTGGGGAATGGGTGTTGGATATCCTATGATGGGAATGGGTCCAATGGGACCAATGGGTCCTATGATGGGTGAAATGACATTAGGTCCTCATATGGGTCATGCTCATGGTTATGGTCCTATGAGTATGGGAATAATGCCACATGATAGTGGTATGATAGGTACTCCAATATTAGGACCTGAACAAATTATGACAGATACAGCTGCTCAAATAATGACTGGTGCATTACCACCACCATCTGCTCCACCGCAAGGTACCAAAGACATTATACATTGCAAAAGTTGTACATTGCTTCCGCCAAATCCAAATGCACCACCGCCAACTACAAGAGAAAGACCTCCAGGATGTAGAACTATTTTTGTTGGAGGTACATATCTTATATTTTATTATTTGAACTTTTATTAATATCAATTTTTGATTCTTTAATGTGAATTACTAAATATATTCTTAAAGTTTAATATATTCATAGGTTTGCCAGAAAACATGACAGAAACAATTATTCAAGAGATATTTGAACGATGTGGTGAAATAACTACTTTACGTTTATCTAAAAAGAATTTCTGTCATATACGCTTTGTTTTGGAAGCTAGCGTCGACGCTGCTATTTATTTATCTGGTTATAGAGTAAGAATAGGTTCTAATGGAGATTCTGCTAATACTGGAAGACTCCATGTAGATTTTGCACAAGTACGTTTATAATGTTCTCTTGTTTTACATTTATTTTCATTTCATATTTATGTGTTGTATGATACATGTGCAATATGTGTAATAGGCAAGAGATGATCAATACGAATGGGAGTGCAGACAACGGCAATTACAACGAGAACAACGTCATCGAGAGAGAGTAGAAAAGGAACGTCAGCGTCCACCATCAAGTCCACCGCCTGTTGTCCATTATACAGATCATGAAGCTTCAAACATATGTGAGAAAATCAAACAGGATGACACTTTCATGAAAGCTGTACAAGTAAGTATTTATTTTGTTATTATTTTTGTATGATCAAATATTTTTGTATGATCATATATTTTTCATTATTTATTTACAGGTTGTCGTAACATGGCTCGAGCGTGGAGATTGTACAAAACGCAATGCCAATACCTTTTACTCAATGATACAATCAACAAATTCTCACGTTCGGCGATTACTCACGGAAAAAGCTGCATATGAAGAAGAACTTCAAAAAGCAAAGGAAGTCATGAAAGGCAGAATGCAAGGATTGCTCATACAATGTACGTGTATAATTTCTTCTTATTTTGTCATGTGGGTCTCTACTATTGTACATTTAACTTTGTATGCAGAAGTATACTGCGTACATGTATCGCTTTATCTGGTAAGTTTATTGTTGTGATAAATCTAAACGAGTTCCTATCCTCATCCAATTTGGATCTTACCAACAAATTCCAAATCATTATAACAACGATTTGGTCGATATATAATGAAAGCATATATTTCCTTCTTCTTTTCATCATTAAAACAAATATTACACATTATAATGTGGTAAATAGTAAATTTGTTTAGTATGTTATCCAGGTATAAGCAAAGGTATGTCTCATATTTTTACAGTTAATTAAATAAATATGTTACCGTTAAAAAAGTGTATAATTCAATTAATTTATGAGATAACTTGGTATTACATGAAATAATTAGGTGTTTTAGGGAAAGCATAGGAAAAGAATTATATTATACATTTAAACACACACTAGTTCTTTTATAATGTGTAACTAAATATTATATGAAATAAAGTTAGGTGTCTAGTTATTATAATAATATGATAGTTCAAAGTCAGAACAGAGTATTTGCTTTTGAAGTACAAGAAAAAGTAGGAACAAATAATTGTTATAGAAACATTATGCTAACTTAAAAACGGATCAAATCTCAATCTCATATATTGATAGGTCAGTATAGTTATTTTATGGTTTAGTCAGTTATTTTATAAATTAATGAATTTCATGTTTTAATGGTAACATATATATTGTAAATATACATATCTTAAAAAAAGAATTTTAAAATGTATAAAATATTTCAAGGTAATATTATCGAAATTATAGAAGAGGCACAAATAATCAATTATTATTCTATAATAATCTTGTTTTAAAACATATTCAAGTTTGATTACATCATTAAGTAACAATCATTTCTACTATGGTCAATGCACATTCAGGGACGACTTAATAGGGAGGACAAAGAAAATAGGAGTGTATAAGGTGGGTGACGAATGCTGTCTTTCGATTCAGACTCTGATAATTATAACCAATGTGCACAGTTCATCATAATGTTCATCTAATAGAAACATAGTGTACTGAGAAGTTGCATGCTTGCCAATGCTAAGAATTAAGGGTGATGGGCTATATTCTCATAGTAAGGACAATTTTAAATTGTTATTTTTTTATAATGTTCCTTACTTTAAATTTGAAAATATTATATCTCTTTATATTAAATTAATAAATATAGTAAAATAATTATGCATATGTTATAAAAATATATATTTTTTTCTTTAATTTTTTTTTCTTTTTTTTTTCTTTTTTTTTTTGTATAGATAAAACAAATACATTTTAAAATTGTCTTGTACATTGGAAACCTCCGCAGATTGTAAGTCATTTAGGCATAAATTATAATGACAAATAATGCATATTTTCTTGTTGAATATAAGCACTGTTTGTCCAATCAATTTTGAAATAGATATTGGCAGCAGAGGTACAAGGTGTGAAAGGGAAATTAAGAAATAATATAATCAAATATAAATGTGTTTATTAAGATTAGTCGTTCATATCTACAAACTATACTGACTGAAGCTTAGCATGATATATATGAATTTAAAAGGACTATCATCAAGAATACCTATAAGTACATATAAATTGTGCTGAATTAGAGGTATAGTTAAAATATTTCAAAATTCTAGATAAGTACTTTTGTCAGATTTGGTCACATACCTGCAGAATTTAATAAGCAAGTATATATATATATATATATATAAAATAAGAGAGAGAGAGAGAGAAAGAGAGTGAGAATGAAAGAGTGAGAGGAAGAGAAAGGAAGAGTATATTTAAATAGTCCAAAAACAAATGTAGAGTTTGAAAAAAGGTGTACAACAGAAGATTTGTTGTGTTTTTGTATGCAACATGCGACATCCATGTCATCAACAGTCAGTCAGATCGAACGTGTCTTTACTGCGGCTAGCCACAAGAAGGTGTGGGATCATTTCACTAAGGCTCAACGGAAGAACATCGAAATGTGGAAGAAACAATCTTCGGTATGTATGTGCATTCCCACACCAGCAGAGTGTCAAATATTTTTCTTTTATGAACAAATTGACAGCAACCTTGATTAAGAATTTATTATTTTATTATATATATATTGCTTATTTGTGCAATTGCATGATTCCTATCATAAGCCAAGCACGCTCATTTTGCAAAACTATTTTTCGAATATGCAGGTAAGTATAACAAAAACAAAAAAAAAAAGAGAAAAAAAAAATAGAAAATGCTTCATAAAATGGTCAGACACATGCTTTCTGCACGCAACAATTTTAAACTTTTGTTGGAAAAAAAAAACGCTAATGAGAAAGGTAATGCATAATTTGAGCTACGTAAGTAGGGCAAAAATACCCATTGGAAATAACAGGTAACAAAGATCTAATGATCTTAGTAACAGGAAATAGATCGTTAAATTATTGGCATGAATTCTTCATGAAGAATTCATGTTATTAAAAATGAGTTTTCTCTCTGAAAAATATTATTTTTTCTTATACTTATACATATTTTATTTCTGTACTTCAAACATTATATCAATCTCTCAAAATGAACAAACAAAAAATATCCCCCACACTCATTTAATATTTTCTATCGATTTTGAATTTACTATCATGCAAGCTTTGAATTACAGAAAATTGTAGCTTTATATTTTTATATGTTCCAAGCATTGTATGTCAATTATAACAATGCATATTAGAAAAAAAAAGTCATTATTTTGTAAAATGACAACCCGTGCTGATCCAAAAAAAAAAAACAGCATATTATGCATGATTCTGTGTAAATATTCATTTATTTTAACTTCTACCAATTGAATAATTTTGATATAATAGGAAATTAAAGCAGTTCAATTAGAAGAAACTCTAATGGAAGGGGAAGGTGAAATGGATGTCTCTGATTGTGAAGAAGAACCGCAGAGAAAAAAAACACGTATTCAATCTGATAGTAATGATGATAGTGAAAAAATGCAATCTTTAAAAGAAGAAAATGATAGTTTAAGATGCCAACTGGAAGCATATAAAAATGAGGTATATAACAATTGTAACATTATATTTATTTAAAACTAGATAACTCTCTCTCTCTCTCTCTAAGTATATGTATACAACATTTTTGTTCATTTGCATTTTACGAAAATATTGATTTTTTCAGGTTGATCTATTGAAGTCAGAAACAAAGTCAGATATTGATGCAAAAGATAAACAAATGAAAATGTTGCAACAAACATTAAAAGGTATGCAAGAACAACTAATACAGTTTAGAAAGCAACAAGCACAAGATGATCAAAAAATAAAAGATTTAACTGTCAAACTTAATTCCACTAAAAGAGAAGAACCTCGAGAGAGTGAAATAATAACTCTTGATAAAGATGATGATATTAGTGAAGAACCTCGAACACCTAAACAATTAATTTTAGCATCTACTTTTGTACAAGTTACACAAAAAGATGCCAAACTTATAGGTAACGAGTTTTATTCCCTTTTTTTTTTTTTTTTTTTTTTTTAATTGATATTATACAATATTACTGTAAAATTAAATGTATACTCTTATAATGAACATAGGCTTGATAGCAACATTTTTGCATATTCATCCATTTGGTGCAAGTGTGGATTATCTATGGTCATATTTACAAAAATTAGAACCAGGAATAAAACCAAATGAAGTTGAAGTTTTAATGCAAAAATTTCCGCAAGTTTTTAAACAAGAATTATTTGGAATTGGAGCTAATATGGAAAGGCGGTGGCAATTTTCTGGTTTTAGCGTTTATCGAAATCATTAAAAATTAAACAATTTCTTTTAATTGTTAAATCATCATAATTATTATGATGATACACATACTTTTTAAATCCGCGTATTATTATACAATAATTATCACAATAATTATTGTATGTAAATTTTAATTGTTTTCTCAATTTCACAATCTTTCACAAATGAAATTGATAATTAATGTCTCTATGTGATATTTTGAGAGAAACAGCATATTATTATCAATTTGACATTCGAACGTATGATCAAAATGCTTTTATCTTATGATGACATTTGTCCAATGATTTTCACGTGACACCAACGTAATGTCACTGGATGGCGTAATGTTTTATGATACACATAATAAATAACGTAGTACGTTATTAACTCTTTGATTGCTATGGACGAATTATATGCGTTCAGCGAAAGCTATCTATGTGAAAAGGTTCAGTCCCAGTCCAACAGTCCACGTTCCATGCCTAAGATTAAAATGCTCCCGATTAGGACATGATCTCATTAAGACTTTTCATATAAGACACGAAACACAAATTACTCTCTAATAAGGTTCGACTTAAGATGACTCCCCATAAAGGCTAATTAAGAGCTCAGACTGCTTAATGGTTCAAAATCAAAGAATAATTCAATGCTCTGTTAACATCAATGTGTCTGTTAATATGAATTATTTCTGTGAACGCGTATATGTGTCCAAAAATATTTTCTATCTTATATATACCACACACACGCCAAGTTATGGCGTTCGAATACTTGAATATTTGTGAAACAAGAATATATATTGCAAATGAGAATGTTTCATTTCGATTTGCTGATAAAAAAATATAATATTCCATCTTCAGCTATCGCAACTCATTTAAAAGTGTATCAACTTAGAGCATTTCATGGTCAAAGGGTTAATCGATAGAAAAAAAAAAGTAAACAATTATATTTATTAGTGTGATTTGATACTATATTAAAGTTTCATGGATTTATGATAATCTAATATACTTGTATAACATGTAATTTCTTTTCTCCATTTTCTTTTTTTTCAAATTTTAATATCATACATTGTTAATTGACCCCTTCAAATCCAAAGATAATCTAACAATTATCAATATAACGTTATTCTAATGCAGTATCTTTTTAATAAGGAATGCGTGTATGTGTCACGTGTGTGTATGTAGTTGTATATATTTATATATGAATTCTTATGTTCCCATGAATGTAAATAAATAATTTATATTACAAAATATAAAACAAATGTTGTGTGAGATTATTCAAGTCTAATATGTAGATATTTTTATATTAAATGTAATTATTTTTTATATCTTAATAAGAATCTAAATAAAAAGAAAAAATTATTATATATTTTCAACTAATAGTCGCATGATAAAAAAAATGTATTTTTTATAGTTAGACGAAATTCCCGCTTTTTCTTTTAAAAAAAGTTTTTTATTTCACCGTCAGATGACAGTTCCATCGAGTATAAAATCACAGAAATCTACCCTCCATAACATGGAGACTACACAAGGAGCACAAAATCAAACGTATTAATTGTCAAAATCTGTCCACACAAATCGTATTTTTAAGTTTTCTTGATTCACCACTAGTGTCGCTAATGTTCCTTTTGTACTGTTTTGAATATAACGTACTGATGCGTGAAGTGAGCAAATAGTTCTTAATCCTAATACTTGTATGTAAACAAAAAATAATAACAAAAATAAAATATTAAAAATAAGATTAATAAAAAATTATAAATATAAAAATGGGCAGGGTGTGCGCAGTTAAAAATTGCAATAGTGGGAATGCAACTGATCTCATACGAAGACTGGAATTCAATAAAATTTACATTTAATACTATTTTTTTTCTAAATGATTAGGATTTAATCTAAATTTATTATTATTATTACTATTTACTCATTTTTTACGATTATTAAATAATTATTTATTTAATTTCAATTGTTGATACTTAAACAACCTGAATGATTATCCTTAGTTTCGTATTATAATTTTTTTGTAAACTGCCGCCTTATTCCCCTTCCATTTTGGTACAAATAGAACACGAGCGCCCTCTTATTTTTTATATCCCATTTGTATACATGGAGTTCGTGCTTCTTGTGTAGTCTCCAAGCTCCATAATATATTTATATAAAAATCATTCTACCGACATTCTACGACATCTAGTGAATGTGAAGTTACTACATGAATTATTTGCGTTAAAAGTTTAAGGTCAGTAACAAATTAGGTGAGTCATGGTGGTATTATCGGAAAGAACGAGCATACGTCAACGTCAAATCGGATTATTTACAATTTTCTCGAATTTTTTGTAAATTGTGTGTGATCGTATTATTTGAATATATTTTATCATGTGTTTCAATAATCATTTGAATAACAGTATGAAAATCTATCATTAACGTTTGATTACGAAATTGTTAAGTTTGTTGCTTGTACAGAATTATATTGTTGTAATCATGAGTGATCGTGTGAAAAGCAATCCTTTTGTTGGATTATTTTCTACCATTGATGATGCTTTATTGTATTCAATACAAGCTAGTGAAGCAAACAATGATAATAATGAGAAACAATATATCGAAGAGAATCATGACAAGGATAAAGAATTATTAACTAATGAAGAATCTGATGAGTATCAACTGAAATTAAGAAAAGCCAAACTTTTGGCAGATGTATTTGGTTTAATGTTAAATTCAGATGAATTAACAGAAATACATAAAGATTTAGTATCAGTAGCTGCTGATTCCGTAGAAGATGCTATTTTTGAAAGAATAGTGATGCCTAGTCCAAAGAGTAATCTAATCCATAATGAACAATCTAATAATTGCGATAGTCATACTGTTGAAACGCAAGTTATATTTTATCTTTACGAAAGTTATCGTCGTTTGAAACATTATGAGGATAATAAAGAATTAATTGATTATATTGATAATTTAAAACTTATTGTATTAAGACATGTTGGCATAGCATTACAAGAGCCAAATTTATTCAATGATCAGGACGTATGTACTTATATATACTTTTTCTTTATATAACTTATTCAATTTATTATTCTATTCTAGACTCTGATAAATAATAACTATATTATTTTCTATACTTTATCATTTAGGTTTATTACCAATTCGTCACCTTGTTTATGGAAGATTCAGTCGATTTATCTGAATTTTTTAAAGACTTAATATCAGAACTTAATTCATCAAATGAAGATACATTTGAAGAAGTTATTAAAATATCTTTTACTCCTATTCTTAATATTATTCATCAAGAAGCAGCTCAAAGCACTCTTGTAGGATTTCGTGAACATTGGTTCACTATTCTTAATATGTTCTGCAATCATGAAACTTTAGCTGAATTACTTTTAGAATATAATACACCAAAGTCTAATCAAGGTAAAGATTATGAGAAAACATTGTTCGGTACATTTTTCTGTTTGAATTGTTTATCGAAAGCAGTAAATCCACGAAATGATTTTTACTCTAAGTCATATGAGGTAAATTATTTTGATCTCTTTGGTTATTATCATAGTTAAATGATTTATTGTATTTTTCTTATATTTCAATTGATCTGTTTTTAGCATAGTGATCCAATCAAGTCTAGCATATGGGTAGCTTTGGGTGCACTAACTGATTGTGTAGAACACATTTTCCATTCTTTATTGAAATTGTCTCCAGAAATTCGTCACATGACTTTACAATGGATAGGTGATTGCCTTCATGCGAATGCAAATAGAGGAAAGCTATGGAATTCTCATAATGAGATTAATTTTGGTCCATCATTAAATGCGTCAGATGGATTTATGTTAAATTTTGGAGCTATGTTATTGCAACTTTGTCAACCATTTTGTGTCAAAACTAAGGAGATGAAGTTTCCTAAAATTGATCCAACGTATTGTGCAGCTGAGGTTTGTATAATAAATATACATACACACACACACACACATAGTTCTAATTTTATAAATAGTTTTTAAAATAAAAACAAATTATACAGCCTGCAGATGAAGATGAAAGTTTTAGTCGTGGATTACATATAAAAGGATTATCCCAAGAAACTTGTTTGATACCAACACCAGAAGGTCAATCAAGGCCAGTATCAAAGTTATTTTCTTTTACAACAGAATGTTTCTTTTTAACACATCGTGCATTGGATCTTGGATATAGAATTGTTATAGAAAAACTTCAAAGGTAAATAATAATACTTTGATTTCTTATAAAAACAAATTGTTAATATATGATATTATTAATATTACAGAGCGCAACAAGATTTATCTCTTATTCAACAAAGGTTGGATAATTCGGTAGAAAATGTTCCTCTTAATCGAAGTTTTAATAGAATGATTTCACAACAAATGGAAGTGGCAATGACAAAGTAAATTTTAATAATAAGAAATTAATATTTTTTTAATTCATATAAAAATGTTTCCACATTATCAAATTAAATATTTATATTATAGATTCCTGACTTTAAAAGCAAGTTTATGTCCTCCTAAAATGTTGAGTAATCTAGCCAATTTCTATGCGACAACAGCACATTGGATAATACAAGTAAATTTAGATAATGTATACGAATTACACGGAGAAGATAGTAATGATGATTATATACCAAAACAACAGAAAAAACTCAGTTTCCCTTTGTCAGAAAAAGTTCCAATTACTTTAAGGTATACTGTATAATATATATATATATGTTCGTATAATTTTGTGTTATCATTTTTATATACATATCCTAATATAATGTAATATTTTCTAATTATTATATATCATAACAGATGCATTCCTGAATTTGTTGTGGAAAATACAGTTGGATTCTTATGTTTCTTACGAGAATTCAGCGCAGAGACTTTTGAAGAACAAGGAAAATCTTTTTTGAATCCAATAATGACAGAAGTAAGTAATAATAACATATACATTTATAATTATAAATTGAAATGCAATAATTTATTGTTATAGCTAATATTATTAATGGATGAACATCGTCTTTATAATCCTCATCTACGTGCACGATTAGCCGAAGGATTAGGAGCACTTTTACCACCTTCTGATGAGGATCTTCCTCTGAGAGCATTCCATAGGCAACAGTTATTTAAAACCCATCAACATGTTTATCAAGTTAGTCATTATTCTTTATAAAGTATAAATTAATAAATTTGATTTGAAAATAATGTTATTATCTTATTATCAATACAGGTAGTTGCTCAATTACTTCAAGTATTCGTTAGTATTGAAATGACTGGACAGAGTGTACAATTTGAACAAAAGTTTAATTATCGTCGACCTATGTATACTATCATGCATTATTTATGGGAACTACCTAGACACCGTAAGAAATTTATGTAAGTTAAATTAATGGATGTGAGATGATAGTAGTAATATATTTGTATATTTTAAATTTAATATTATTAATTATTAACATCCTTTTTTTTTTCATATAATTACAGTGCTTTAGCTAAAGATGCTGAAGCCAATATGGAAGCTGTACGCCCACCATTGTTTCTACGATTTATCAATCTTTTGATGAATGATGCTGTTTTTTTGTTAGACGAAGCTCTTTCTAATATGGCACAATTAAGGAAAATGATACAAGCAAGGTTGGTTAATGTCAAATATTTTATATAGATATATTAACACTAGATATACTACCATTTTCAGTATACCTATTTCTACCACACTAGTCAAAATGATTGGTGTATAAAAAGAAATGCTTTTTGAGGCTTCCAGTTTTTATTTACTCTTAAAAAATAACAAAAAAAATGTTTAACAATAATAATTTTAACAGATAAATGGATTTATAGACATTTTTGAATTAAAATGGCCATCAATCAAAATGACTGGTCTGGTATATCTAATGTTAATATAATTATTATAAAAATAATATTATTTACATAATTTTTAAGGGATAATGGAGAATGGGATAAATTACCTCCAAACGAACGTATTCAACAAAGGAATTTCCTTCATCACGTAGGCACAATTGCACAATTTGATAATATCTTAGGCAGAAAAACTATACAGACGATCAAAATGTTGACGTCTGAAATAAAATCGATTTTTTGTCATCCTACAATGGTTGATCGGATAGCTTCGATGCTTAATTATTTACTATTGCAATTAGTTGGACCTGATAAAAACAAACTTAAGGTACTCTTTATATTTTGAAGGTTTTAAAATTGATGTTTACAATATAAATATTTATTATTATAATATTATGTGTAATGTTAATTTTATTTTTGTTTATCAAAGGTCGATGATCAAGATGGATATGGATTCGAACCAGCGAATTTGGTGTTAGATATATGTAAAATTTATGTCAATTTGAGTGAAAACAAATCATTTACATTAGCCGTATCTCAAGATGGTCGTTCTTATAGCCCAAAGCTTTTCAAATCAGCTGATCAAGTGCTTCGTAAGATATATTGTTTCTTTTTTTTTTTTTTTTCTATTTTTCACAAGTTATTTATTTCTAAAATCGTTTAATTTTGATCAATGTTAATATAATTTTTGTATTGTAGTTCGCATAGGTGGCTTTGATATATTAGGAGAATTAAATCAATTTGCCAAAAATGTAGAAAAAGCTGCTACTATAAAAAGAAAAGAAGATGAAATATTAACAGAAGCTCCAGAAGAATTTCTCGATCCTATTATGTCAACCCTTATGATCGATCCAGTTATTTTACCTTCGTCAAAAATAACTATCGATCGACGAACCATTGCCAGGTTGATTAATGATACTTCTATAATCATTTTTAACAATAATAAATGAATAATATATTGTAAATAATTTGATACTTTTGTTTTAGGCACTTATTGAGTGATCAAACAGATCCATTCAATCGTTCTCCCCTTACTATGGATATGATAAAACCTAACACAGAATTGAAAAATAAAATAAAGCAATGGGTATCGAATAAAAAGGCGGAAAATGTAATACAAATTTTATAATGTTATTTTCTTAGTAATAAAGTACAAATATAAATATATATATATATATATATATTATTTCTTTTTCGTGTTGTAATGTTCAGAATTAAAATCAATGTCTAGCTTTAAATATAAATAACACAGAAATATAATTAAATATATATATATATATATATAAAATACAATTTTTAGAAATTTTCAAATATAATGTGTAAAATAAAAACTGTATTACGATATTTTTACCTTAATATTATAAATAATTGAATTAATCATTAATCTTGTCTATAAGTCATACATATATATATCTATAAAAATAATTTAATTGCGTTACATTTGTACAAATTATTGTTACATCCTATCTAAAATTACAAATTATTTATAAGTTCGTCAAAATTTGTAACAAACCATTTTGAATTTAATTTAACAGTCTCTCTAATCACATTTCCTCCGAAACCTATAAATAAAAGTCAAAATGTATATACATATATATATATATATATATATAATATATAGGATGTAATAGAACATGTGGAATCCACTTTGGGAGATGATTGTATATACCTAAAAATAATGCAAATAATTTATACAGACATATGCTCTCTTTGTATTCATTCATAAGATATACGAATTATCTTTTGATTACGTGTTATCTAATTATCTTTTATAGAAGATACTTAAAATGATCATATCACATTTCAATACAAGTTTAATACTAGATTATCTTGTCATAAATCTGATTACTTTGAATGGTTCCAGAATTTGTTAAAAATCTCATTGTAAACCTTAGTACTTGAAATGATTAAGAAATGAAGATTACTCCGTTTACAAAATAAGTTATATCTCATAAACGAAAAAAAGAGAGAGAGAGAGATAGAGCATGTGTTTATAGGAACTCCTTTTTATTATTTTTAGATGTATAATAAGTACTCGAAGTAGGTGGATTCCACATGTTCTGTTATATCCTATATATATATATATATATATATATAAATATCACAGTGTATATAAAATAGTTATAAATATTGTGATTATTTCTGAACCGAATATAATTTCTGTATATATATAATACTTTTTATTATATTTAGAATAAGTATGCATACCTATAAATGCATCTGCTGGAGGAGAAGCTTCTAAATCCGTTGCCCCATCTCCAACATGAACAATAGTTTTAAACCCTTTTTCTTCTTTAAGATAACGAATAACTTCTGATTTTCCACCACTTTTCGATGTTGGTTCATTTTCATCAAATCCCGCATAATCTCCTGAATATAAATGATTCTTCATTTTTATTTGAATTATTATCTTTAACAAAAAAAAGAAAAAAAAAAAGAAAAATACTAACCGGTAAAGTAAAATTTAAGTCTATTAGCATAAACATTTTCTGGGGGTATATCAAGTTGTTCCGCAACTGAATTTATTAAACAATGAAATCCACCGGAAACGAGAAATACTTCCTTTTTGTTTAAATGTAATGTTTTAATCAAATTTCTGTAATATTTATATATCACAATTAGATCTATTATAATATATATAACAATTTTTTTTTTTTTTATATAATAATTTTTCAAAAATTAGTATATTACTTGATTCCCGGTGTAAGTTGCGGAGGATGTACTTGTATAAATTCTTTAATTTGTGATAAACTAGGCCTTATAATACCCAATCTTACTGAAAGAGATTGTTGAAATGTCATGTTTCCTTGCATCGCTTGCTTCGTTCTGAAATAATGCATTTTAATATAAAATTTATTTATTGTTCAAAGAATAATATAAAATATACTTACAATTCTGTAACTTGTTTGCCTTTACCACAAAATTTTGCTAATTCATCTATGCCTTCATCTTTAATAACGGTTGAATCAACGTCAAAAGTTATTGCATCCGCTATTCTCCAAATAGTTTTGACTTCTTCTATATTTGCCATTTGTGACACTATTTGTTTTTTTAAGTCAACGTAATAATGATATTAAAAAAAGTGTATTACATGAAAATATATATATATATATTATATATTTAATTATAATTTTGTTTAAATAAGCATCTTTGTTAAAGAATTATACATGTAATATACATATTAATAAAATGTACATATATTCTTATCATATAGAAATATCACGACCTTCTCAACTTAACTATAACCATTGATTACCGTTTATTACAAAATATGTTTATTCAATATATTATGAAATTATGATAGATCATTACATATAATACGTATATCAAATGAAAAATAATATGACAATTTAGAACAATATTGCGTGAGAATGTTATGACGTGTGGAAACCAACATTTCTAATTATTAATTAAAATATTTTTTAAAACCAAAAAAAAAAAAGAAAAAAAATAAACAAAAATATATTTATATATACTAATATATAAATAAATAATATAATATAAAATTATATATAATATTATAATAATAATAATATATAATAATTTAATATATTATTATATTATTATTATTAATTTAAATATATATTGGATTTAGGTTAGAGGGATATTTTAATAAAATAAAATAATAAAAAAGAGAATAAAAAATAAAAAAAAAAATAAAAATAATTATATACTATTTACATGTAAACTGGCGAATCATTCTTGACATATCGTATTACACACTCAACTGAAACATATAGATAATAATATATTTATTTTCACAATTTATAGATATTAATCAAAAATTTTTGTTATCGATAAAAATAATATTATATGATAAGAAAAATCTCATTAGGGACTTTTTTTGTTATATTTTATATGTGCGTATTGCTACAGATAAGCGGTGGTTGACTTCGTCACATGTTGAATACACATATATATGTATACATATATATATATGTGGTATGGCATATGCATGTTTATATATTAAAAAATTTAACTCTCTTACGTAACCAATGAAATCAAGTTCTATGAAAATTGAAGATAAATTTATTCGAATATTTTCCGAACTACTAAAAGATATTTTCTATTTAATTTAACAAATTGTAACATATTACATATACATAATTCAAAGATGTATCCACGTCTACATAATTATGTAAACGTATAACTCTTTTTATTTGTTTAAAAGAAAAATACATATGTGAGACATGCGTGTTGCAAAAATTATTAAACATATTGAAAGAATGTAAAAATAAAATATTTAAATATTATTCACAATATTTTTATGATTACAAAACAAAAAAATAGATATATATATATATATGTCAAAATTTGTCACAATGTCAAATTTTGCACAAGTGTCAAATTTTTTGTAGATATATTTTTTAATATTAAAAATGTCAAAATATAAGTTGCAAATTATGTTAAAAAAATTTTACTCTTATTGTTAAAAAAATTATACATAAGTTACGTAAATTTGTTTACTTTGATTATTTAGCGATATATATATATATATATATATATATATATATATGTATTACCACATGTCAAATGAATATATAGATACTACTGTATTTTTGGAACTATTTTAGAATTAAAAACTATTATTATAAAAAATAATGAAGGAGCTTGAAAAATAGTACATTAAATAAAAAAAAAAAGATTTGTTTCTATTTAAAATAAGCATACATTATATATTTGTCAATAACAATTACTTTATTACATCGATCATAACTTAATAATTTATACCACCTGCTAATTCGTAATTATATCTTTTTATATAAATATGTGTGTATGTATAAACCTTATGTTAATAATATGTAATTGTTATGATTTTTATATTATTATTGTTATTGTTTAATTGTTGCAATTGATATTACATACGGAAACGAATTAAAATATGACTTCGATTGTGAGATATAAAAGGATTACTTAATTGTTAGACTTCGTTAAGTTTAGATGAAATAATTAAACATATCTTTTGTGTTTGAATTTAAATAAATTATAACGAAATTAAAACTTACTTTTTATATATTGATAGAGACGTGAAAGAAACAGCGTGATGTGATGTTATAAATGTAGATTCTTGTGAATAAATGCTTCTAATAAATTGTTTTCAACTATATAAGAATGTACTGTACGTTTTGTGACCAATTGGTATCCGTTTATAGTAATCTTCCTCGTGTATTATTGGTTAGAAAGCCCGGCCTCTTTTCCACTCTTACTTGATGTAATTCTATATCATATATAGTGTTTTCTTTTTTTGTTTTTTTTTTATTCACAACTACTAACACGATGTATCGATGAAATAAAAAGAGGAACACGTTTAAAAAAAAATTGGATAGATAGATAATGACATTGTCGTAGTTTTGTTTAAATATTGTTTTATCCATGATTGGACTGTGTAATGTATCAATATGTCTACTATAAATATAAAGATCTTACGACTTTGTCAAAAAGTGAGTTAAAAGTGGGGATAGATGGAAAAAACATACTGTTTCACTTCCCTCCCACCCTGTGACCCCCCACGAACGGCACTACTACTTATACAATTTTTATCGTGTCAATGTAACAGCTTATGATATTTCTCACCAGATGGCGTAAATATAACCAATCGCAACGTTTTATATTCGATTATTATATTTGAGATATTTAAACTTGTTTTAAAAAAAGTAGTTTAAAAGAGATAATATAAAAGATTATATCCATTTACAATATAACTTCACTTGTTTTATATTAATTTTTTAAGATATATAAATATATATGTACATATAGTATCTAAAAATAGCATAAGTGTTATGTTCAAATAATGATAAATGAAGCGGGTAGATATCGATAAATTCCCGCCATTCTTTTTAATTTTGTATAAGGTAAATATCTGTAATAATTTACGGAAAATATTGAAAATATGTTTAATATATTTAAGATATACATCATTTCATCAGATTTATATATAACGTAAATATATATATATATATATATTAGATTTAATAATTGAAGTTTTATTTATAAAACAAGGTGGAGGAGAAGTATAAACACGTGGGAAAAAATTTGAATAGTTTTGAAAGAGGACAAAAGTGATTTGGATTTTTTAAAAAGATGAATTAACGATCAATTATTACGAGATAGAAATATTAGATAATTTAAATTGTACGATCATAGTCAAATTTAAAAGAAATGTTATATTTCATAAGTTTGATTAAATTAAAAAAAAATAATTAGATTTTCTATGAAATCATATAAACACATTTCATTAAACAAAACATTCCAAATAATATAGTAGAGTTTAGAATAAACTCATAAAAGGGAATATATAATTATTCCTCGAGGAATAATCGAAAAACCCCTTTATGATATAGCAAGAAAGTTAGTCCAGGAGGTGAGGTGGAAGTAAAAATGAGTGCGAATGTGGGGAGACAGCTGTCGTCCGCAGTTAGCATCGAGTCGTCCGTGTCGAGTGTGGGGCGGCTTCGTCTACCGGTGAAATATTCAATCAAAATTAAGAATAGGATATAATAAATAGGATATAATAAAACAGGGACACACAGTTAGAAGGTGATCCTTCGAGACGCAGCTTCTTTTTATTATCATTATTACTATTATTATTATAATTAATATTATTAAGAGTATCTTTGTTTTTTTTTCGTCCGCATCTCAAGATAAATCTTGGCTAAACTTTTTTCTTTCACTTATTCTTTTTTTTTTTCATCTTTCATCTTCTCCCTTCTTTCTTTTTTTTATTCACAATTCTAATGGGATCGTGTATAAAACTTTTAAGTTTAGTATATATTTTTGTTATTCAAACAGTACCAACGCGTCCCGAAGATTTACCTTGTCATTATACATTAACGGTTCCCTTAGAAAAGGACAAAATTCAAAGATACGAGAATGGTTCTATATTTCACGATGGTACGTTATACCCTACCAATTTGTATTGGATAAAAAATAATTCCATACGTGGATGTATCTGCGAGTTACGACCTTGTATGAGAAAATGTTGTCAAGATGGGGAGGTTTTAAGCGACGGTGAAATTGCTACATGTAAGAAGATACAAAATTTAACGAATCTTCCTGATATTAAAGCAGAAAAAGAACAATTGACATCTGAAATACAACATATACAAAATATCGCTGATCATTATATTCTTCTTCGAAATAATATCTGTCCAAATAAAAGTTATAAATTGGAGCCGGAAAACTTTGAAGAAGATAAGTTTATTTTCGAAGTCAATGGTACCCTTCATGTTGGATCAGATATTTATCCACAATCGAATTTTTGTATAGATTGGCATGAATCATTGAACAAGATAACCGTTTTAATATGTTTTCAACCAGAAGCAGAATCATCGTTACCTGCAACACAAAAGATTTATCCTATCATGACGATAGTGTCCATACCATTTCTGATAATAACTTTTTTAGTTTATGCCATTATACCAGAACTTCGAAATATTTATGGAAAAACTTTAATGTGTTATGTTGCTTGTCTTACAATATCATATTGTTTTCTCATCAATTTGCAACTCAAGTATTTGCCGCCTGAAATATGTTTACCCTCAGGTAAGAATTTTCTTAACGTTTATGTTATGTTAACGTTTTTTTAACGTTATGTTTTATAAGGTTAATGTTATTATCGTAACATTACTATTTAACAATGTTATACATGTTACATATACTTACATTTGCTATTGTTAATTGTTAGACTACAATTATCTATGATTACAAATTTTTTAGTTTTAAATACTCGGAAACAGTTACTCATGTTTACAACGAGTAAAACGTAATAACAAAATAATCATACAATTCTTAAGAACATTTAATCTAATTCTTCGAATGAGTAAATTTTATCTATAAGAAGACCGATTTGTTCTTCTGTTATATTTCATGGTTGGAATACACTTAGGGTCGGAGATCAAATGATAGAAAATCTTATAAATAATTGTACAAATTTCGAATGGAATATCATCATCGTTGATATAAATACAATATATTCTTTTTTTCGAACATATTGTAACATTGTTATCACACTTAAGATTAATTTTATTTCAAAATTAACGATACTGGTATATGTTTGTATGATTACGACGAATCTATCAATGATATCGTTAAAATAACCAGAAAAGCTTTTTATGGGTGATATCGTAGTTACTTTCATTTGAAATTATAGTAGTCCTTGATTTGTTGTAATGCAATTGTGATAATAAATATTACAATTAATTTTGATAATTCTTAATAAAAACTATATTTTAAAAATATCCTATTATTATATATTAAATAAATATATATGTAATATTAATTTAATATAATATATTTAATATATATTTTATAATATTAATATTAAATTAATATAATATATATTAATTAAATATATTATAATCATATTAAATAAATGTTAGATGCTAGTTTTCCTCTATTTAATTTTCTATTTATAAATTATATTTATCTGATTAATTTAACACAACCATTCTAAACATCATATTTATTTCTTTTCATAATTATCTTAATCATCAATATTATAATAAAATTAAAATTGTAATTAATTCACACCAAAAATTTAATTCATTGATAGAATTATTTATACCCTTACGTATTATTGACCTCGTAATAGTATCTTTCAACATAATCTTAAAATTATCTTATCTAACTCTTTTCAAAGATTATCAATTAGGTATATAGAATGAACTTGTAATGTCTTCCTATATGATTCTATTTTATTAATTGTTAATGGTACCACTGAGTTTTATTTCCAATTACTTTGTAAGAAATTTTACACGTTGTAGTCGTCGTCACCATTCGTGACCTTATTTTCTCTTCTTATTTATGAGTAGAGAGAAAGAATCATAACCGGAATTCCCAACGGATGCTATTGACGATACGACAAGGGTGGTGGTCGACAATATTTTTGTTAGGATTAGTATTGCTTTCGTTTTATCGTTGACAACACCTCCCGAATTATTTTAAACGCGTTTCTTACATTACACAATAATAAAATATGGCAATTTTTGACAATACATTTGTAATATTTCTAATGATAATTTTATTTGAAAAAAGTGTTGGAGTAATATCGTACGCGTACTTTTATACAACACCGGATTCTGTGAATAATAATGTGATTTCAATTACCAATGGTAATCTTATCGCGTTTAAGACTATCAACGGAAATACTACATTTAAGAATAAAAATCTGAAAGAAGAAATGAACTCTAATATATCTAATTTAATGGGTGATTAAATGCATTCTCAAATCTATTCGTGTGTATAGATAAACATACTATATATATATATATATAGACAGCTATTCGATTTGGATCGATCTGTGTTAATACGTAATCCTAATATTAACTTTACTCTCTATTATAAATACTGATAATTTATTTAACAAGAAACTGATAAAAAAAAAAATTTTTTTTGCCAAGAAATCAATCAAATAAATAGAAGTGTATATATATATATATGTAATTTAGTATGTATATATCTATAATATATAGATGAAAGTTGAACGAAACATCATTGTGATTATTAAAAATCTCATGTCTTGTATTTTAAGAAAATACAACGTACAAGGAAGAATCAATTCCAAGGAAAAATACTGAAGAGGATTATATCAAATATTGCGTTAGAAGAAGAAATTGTATTTCGTTTTGTTGTCCACCTGATTATTACTTAATTTCAAAAAATGAGTGCGAAAAAATAGAAAATGAAACTTTATCATTGCCAAGAGTTTACACGATGGATTTATTACCAATGAATGTTACAACGAATGATAAGAATTTTCGTTTCTTATATTGGAATCCTTGTAAAGACAATCAAAAGTATGCATTAAATCCAACTATTTATCCGGAAGAACGATCGTACCTTTTGCAAAATGGTTCATTCTATTTGCCCTATGGGGATAAAGGCAAAAAAATATTAAATCCAGAAAATTATTGTCTTGCTGCAACGAAATATATTCCTAACGAATATCTCGTTTTCTTTTGCAAAAAAGAAACAACCATTAATTCCTATGTCCATTCGACATTTCATGGATTTCTCATTTCGTTGGGTATGATCATATCAATACCATTCCTTATAATAACATGGTTGGTTTACACGGTCATCAAGGAATTAAGGAATTTACATGGATATATTCTACGTGCATACATTGCATCTTTGACCTTGTCATATGCAATTTTATCTACGGTTCAAATTATACCTCAACAACAGATCTCAAATACGTGCTGTGTTTTTCTTGGTAAATTCATTATCAATGTCCTTTCTTTACTCACGTCGAAATAAAAAAAGAAAAATAATACTTATCTCGCTTAAATCTTAATCTATAGAAAGATAAACTATTATAGATAAATTCATTCGTAAAAAAGAAAAAAAAATAATAATAATAATAAAACCGATAGATTTTAAAAAGGTGTTTTACGTTTGTAAGATGCGTAATGTCGTATATACGTTTAAACGATATCAAATACATATTAAAAAGATTAGATTAGAAAAAGATTATAGGTTTGTGCTAAGATGTTTTTGAGGAAAGGTTAGAGATTGATATTATATTAATATATCATGTATATAATACAAATAATACAAATGTAATATCATGAAATTCTTTATATCGCATAAAGAGTTTATTGTATTGAATAATACAACGTAAAAATTTGATACTTACGAGGAGTTATTGAACTACGATAAGACTTGAGATGTTTTAGACTCGATGAAAGACAAATAAGAAAAAGAAATGATTAACTTCGAATACTTTGTAATTGACTCTAATCATTTAAATGTGTTGTTGATTAAGTTATAACATATTGCGGAGTGTTCTTTCTTTTGATTAGTCATTTAATATCTTTCATCCAGTTTCGTCATACGAACGGGAATAAATTAATGAGACAAAAAATGATCTAATATATTTTCGTTTATTTTAAATATTAATATCGTATCCATTTTAAACGCGTAAAATCGATGTTTTGTAAAAAGTCTTGAAATAATACAAAACATGTTGCTTTTATATACTCCCATTGATAAGTATGACGCATTTTGTGGTTTAAGAGACGTCGGAGATTAAAGTATAACTCAAATCGATTTAGTTTTTATATGTCCTAACAAGAAACCAGTCGACGAGTGGTAAACGTTCGTGAATGATGGGTGTTCGTCAAATTAACAAAACAAACAGCATCATTGTCTGCTGTTATATTTTTTTGTTAACAATCGGAATATCGTATTCATCAAACTTATCATTGTCATCTCAAACGTTTCAAAGTCAATCGTCATCAAATCATCGTTTGCCATTATTATCCTTATGTTGCAAATGGAACTATAGTTTGATAAATAAAACATGTGTATTAATAAACGAGTCTCCCAAATTTCCACCCGTTTACGATGCAAATAGTTTCAAATTAATCGATTTAAAAGTAGATCATAATAATTTTCATTTTATATTTGATAATCCTTGCGAAGTTGATAAAAGATGTCTCGTTGAAGAACAATTTAAAATGTTGAACAATGGTTCGATTTATATTGAAAATCAACCGATAATTAATCAAGATCAATATTGTCTCGTTAATTTAAACAATAGTGTATACGATGTGATACAATGCTGTGAATTTTCTGATGACGTTGAAATTGAAAAGGATAATTTAAAACTTAATACTGTTCTTATTATTGGATTAATAATATCATTACCGTGTTATTTAATAACATTTAGTATTTATTCAATAATACCGGAATTAAATAATTTGCACGGTTGTACTTTACGTTCTTACGTTTGTTCACTTTTCTTTTCTTATTTATTTCTTGTGATAATACAGATATCTGACAAAGACATTAACCAAACTGCGTGTTACATTTTTGGTATTGTATTATCAATTTGTTTTTATATATATATATTTTGTATTTTTTCGAATAACAATTATCAATCAAGTTATTTTTTTTCAGATACATATATTAGAACATAATACATATATTAAAAATAAATTGATATTAGAAAATATTATTAGAAATAATGATCAAGAAATAACTAATCAAAAACCAACACAAAATTGAAATTTATTTTTATCGATGTTAACAATATAATAATTCAAATAAAATGTGTTAGTTTACATGGATAATTATCGTATATCAATAATATCTAAATCTATCATATTTGTTTGTTTATTTTGTAAATTTTTATAAACCATTTTAATGATTGATTTTTGAATGATAATACAATACATAGTTAATATACATATATAATACAATAATAAAGTTTTATCAAATGTTATCTTTCTGTTTCAGCTTTCTGCATGTATTTCTTCTTTCTGGCAAGTTTTTACTGGTTGAATGTCATGTGTTTTGACATTTGGTGGACATTTGGGTAAGTGATTAGAATTTCATCATATATATTATAAATGCTTTACTTCTTTTTTCTTTTTCGCAATAATAAAATCTAATAAATCAAAAAGTATTAATCAGTTTGATTAAAAAACAAAAATAATAAATTTCTCATGAGAATATAGAACTTTTTCAAATGTCAATTATCAAAACATTTGATTAATACTTGACTATATATATATATATATATAATTAATATTATTTATAATTAAATAATAATATTACATACGATTTGATATAAATATTCTTGGAATAAAATGATTATTAATTAATTGATTAATAAATGAAATAATAATAAATTTGTATTAATCTATTATTACTAATTAGACAGAGAAAAAATAATTGCTCTAGGTGGTGAGAGGATCTACAGTTATAAAAGATCGAGTTCGTTTATATTTTTTTATGCTTTTGTTCGTTTTATATCCACTTTCCTTGTGTCCTTCGTCGAATACATTTGAAGAAACGAAACGATGCTAGGTCTCGTAGTATCTTGTTTGGATTAAGCGCCGCAATTTCCTCGGTCTACACCCGTTGTGTTTTATAGAGCAGCTTGGTTTGTATAAGCGGGAAAATAGTTTCTTCTGGAATCAGAGGAAAAAAAAAAAAAAAAAGAAAAAGAACGTATTTCTTTACTTGGAAAACAATTTTATTTCGTTTTGTTATTTATCTATCTTATATTATTTTTATTAAATTAATTTATACTTTTGAAACATTCGTATATCTTCTTATCGCGTTATTTGAAATAATTTAGATTTTTTACTTGTAATGTAAAGTTTCCCAAAATTCTTATAGACAAATTATTTGTATGTTAGAATTATTTAATCTTCATATTGATATTCATTTTATTTTATAATAATATTCTATTGTTCACACGTGTGTTTGCATAATAAAAATATTATAATATTTTTTAGATATGATTGGATATATATTTTGTAAATTAATTTATATTTTATTTATATTTATATTTTATTTTATTTATAGTTGTTGTATAACTTATATTATATATATATATATATATATAATATAATGTAATATATTAATTATAATATTATTATATTAATATTAATATAATATATAATATATATAATGAATATTTTATATGAACTAGTTATTTATAGTTATTTATAGTTATGAACAAAAAAAAAGAATTAACTTATTTTACAATTAAAATACTTTTGCGTTTTTGTTTTCTTTTCAATTAAATTAATATCAATTAAAAATAATAATTAATCATTTTAAAGTATAATACGTTTCTGTCTAATAAGAATTTTATTTATCGTTTGATATTCGTGTCGATCGATTAAAAAAGAAATGAAACGAATATTAATTAGACTAATAAAAGGAACGAAACAAGTATAAATAACATAGATATAAATATAAACAAGACTTTTTCTTTTGTTTTATTATTGAATTTCTTAATTAATTGAATATTTTAACCAATATCATTTTTCAATTGTAAGTTATTATCGTTAAAAGCATATAATGCCTGAAGATATAATCGTAAAGATAAATCGAAATTAAATTGTGGACATTTAGACTGCGTATATGTAATATATATGTGTGTACATGTATGTATATTGTGTGGGTCACGTACGAGATATTAATCCTCCCCCACGTCATCTTCAATTTCTCTTCGGTGTTTGTTAATTATCAAATTTCTCTACGTCGCCTTACTGGTGCCGGTTGAGAGAATAATTGACGTAAAAATGAAGAACATATACACATACTCACACACACATACATATATATATATATATATATATATATAAAACAGACGGATTATGCGGGTATACTAGAATAAACTAAACCGTATTTTCTATGATCCCATTGAGCGTGTTGTTAACGAAAAAGCACGCAGCCAAGAAAATTTGTATTAACAGTAGAGAACAATTGAAATTGTTTTAAGTATAGCACAAAAACAACTTAACTCATATGCCAAATTCTATTTGTAAAAATAAAAATATTAGAACATATTGATAAAACAATATAATTACATTGTTCATATTATTATAATTAATATTATGATATATATTTTTTTTTTTATTTAATTTTTAATTATATAAAATGAATTATAAAATATATTTAAAATATTTTATTATAATATATAAATATATATTTAAATAAATATATAAACTATATTTATTAAATATATTATAATTATATGAATAATATAATTAATGTTAATTCAATGTAATTTATGTATAAATTGTAAATTATAATAATATGTTCTTTTTTTAAATATTTTGTATCACGTACATACTTTCATAGTATAATTATAGAGATTAAAATATTTGTTTCCTTTGTAATATTTAAACCTTTTATTTAAACGAAAAATTTAATCGTTTAAAAAGGATATTAATTGAAGTGAGATTCGTTTAATTCCCATGTAAAATGAATGAAACTGTGTGGGTGTTAAAGTTTTTACATAGAATCGAGTCACGTTTGTTAACACACATGTTTCATGTTAAACTCTCATTCATTTTGCCAAGCCCTAACAAATTTTTTCTCTATCTCTTTCTCTCTCTCTCTCTCTCTCTCTCTCTCTTTTTCTCTATTGTGGCTTTTAGTCATTGACCACAAACCTAATACAAGTTTCTTTTTAGAATAAATGTATTTATTAAATGAATATTTACTTAAATATTAAAAACTCTTTGAAAGTACATAATCCATAAACGATTATTTGATTAAGATATATATATATATATATATATATATATGTGTGTGAGTCTTATGTTGAGTTAAACATTATCTTTGTAAAATGAGACATCCTTTTGTTCAGATTAACTAAACACTATCATAATTTCCCCAAGGTATTTTCATCTAAAAACATGTGATACTCTATTGATTTCTTCTTAACGTTTTCCAATTTTCTTTTTTTTTATTGTATATATCAAGTATCTCATCATTAGATGTTTATTTATACATTTATCTATGTAAATACCTTTCCTTTTTATGTTGATAATAGGAAGGAAAAGAAAATATAAAAATACAAAAATATTTTGAAATGACAATAAAGAATAACATACTATTTTAATATACATATATATGTATTAAATTTTATTTTAATATATATTATATTAAATATATTATTAATAATATTATATTATATTATATTAAATAATTTATAATATTTTATATAATATATATTATATATTAATATTATGTATTAGTAATATTAAATATTAATTATATATTTATAGTTTATATACTATAATATATATTATATATACTATTATATATATATATAATAGTATATTATATTTATCCCATTATATTTATATATAATTTATACAATCTATTATACAACTATTATATAATAATAGTAATTAATTAGTTAGTAACTAATAGTATAATTATATACTATTTATAGTATATAATAGTATATTATAATTATATATATATAATTATTAGTTATTTATTTATATATTAATTAACGATATATATTTGTTATTTGTTTTAGTGGTTTCCGAGCATTAAGGGGTAGTATGAAACAAAGGGATCGAAAAAAATTTATAATATATTCTATGTATGCATGGGGAATTGCATCATTTTTCACAAGCATATGTTTAATTATGGATTATGCTCCTAACATACCAGAAAGTACAATTCGACCTCAACTTGGAGAGAGTAGATGTTGGTTTACGAGTAAGTATATTTAAATATTATAATTTATATTATTTTTATATATGAATGTAAAATGTAATGTTGAATAATATTATTTCAGCTAATAGTGCGACAAATATTTATTTTACTTTTCCTATGACAATATCAATTGTCTGCAATTTATGTCTATTTATCTCAACCGCTTTAAAAATTCGACAACACACTAAAGATACGGCCCATCATTTAAGAGGTAGCGAAAGTAGACGCCATGACGATAATAAACAATGGTATATATGTATAAATTATATATATATATATATATATATATTTGTATAATATTATTTTTATTATAAGATTTTTATTTTTAAGAGAAAGTTAAAAAGAGTGTTCATATTATAAAGAAAATATGACTTTTCTATCTAAACGTTATACACTTACAATATATAATAAAAAATTAATTAATATCGTTATAAATAATATTTGAAATAATATCAAATATGAATCTACTCATATTATACTCATGCGAATCATCAATATGGTATAGTTATCTTTTCTTACTAACATTGAATGCTTATTTTTAGACGTCGCTATAGGGCAAGCGACAAGAAGATGTTCCCATGCCATAGTTTATTTTCCTTATTACGAAATCATTCGTAACAACAATTAAATTATCTCGGCTATAATGAGTCATGATTTTGTTAAATATTCATTCATACATAATATTTAACTAACTAATATTATACAAAATATAAAAATTATATTATAAATAATATATTTTGTTTTTGATAATAGGTTCAATCTGTATATGAAGTTATTCATCGTGATGGGTATCACCTGGACAACGGAAATCATATCCACGTTATGGGAAGGATCAGGTGATTATATTTGGTATATATCAGATGTTATTAATACTTTACAGGGTTTGATCATTTTCATAACGCTTGTTTGCAAAGAAAAAATTAAGCGTTTATTACTTAAAAGATTTGGATGTAGTGAAAGTAATGTTTTTTCAAGAAGCCTTACTCGTAGTGTTTATAATAGTTCAGCGTCTCGTACTACTTGTACAACAACTACGGGTTTACCCCTTCAAGAAAAAATTGATGCAAATATTCGACGAGAAGCATTTCGTTTGAGTAAAGAAAGTGCTGAAGATAGCGATTGTCCTTAATTAATTCATACACAATGATGAACATAATACGTTCGTTAATAAGAACGTATGATTATACAGATGATTCATCCATCTATTCTGCAAGAAAAAAAAAAATGACCTCAAACATGTGCTTTCAAATTTTTAAATTGAAAAAGAAGTTATACTTTCCTTTTCTTTTTTTTTTTTTTTTTTTTTTTTTAAATCATACAACACATTATTCACACGGACTTATTATCTTTTAATTCTATTATTTATTTTGTTCATAATACCATTAATTTATTATAAATAACTGATATATCCTGAGATTATAATGAAGGATATATGACTTGCGAAGATATTAACTTCTATATTAAAAAAAGAAGTGAATAATATTATTAGAATATACGTTTCAAACAAACAACAACTTTTTAAATATTAAATAATAAACAAGTTATGCAAGAGATATAATGATTGATGTATTATCGCTTTTATCAAACTTAATAGCAAAGACACACGTTGTACTTATATTTGGATCTCATTTAGATTTCGTATGCTTAGATAACAATTTGTGTATGAAGTATATTATTCATTATTATATATACTTCGAATCTCTCTATAAATTAATTATTATTAAATAAATGTGAGATCACTGATGCTTTGAAAATATTCCATAAAATTATCTACGTAACGTAAAAATTGTATTAATCGTTTTTTATTAATCGTTGTACCAATATATATATATATATATATATANTATATATATATATATATATATATATATATTTTATAGTTATATATTCTAATATTCTAATTTATGAATATATAATATATTCATAATTAGATATTCTATATTCTATATTATAAGATATGAATTTATATTGTTAGTGAAAATAGTCATAAAATTTCTATAAGGAAATAGATATAAGTATATATTTAATTTATATTGTATACTTCAGTTAAATTGTGAAAATTTTAGATTTTACATATACTACCGTTTAAATGATCGATCTTTGTTTTCAAGATCGAACTATGTACGTTTTTTCTCAAAGGACATGTAAACACTCAGTTACAGTTCGACCATATCATCATAAACACGTAGATTTTGATGAGTGCCTGGTAAAAATATTATAATGATCGTTATAATATTTCAACGAATTTACATTATATATTTATAATTATTAATTATTATTATTTATGTTTTTTTTTCTTATCAGATTTTCATTCACTTTCTCTTACCATGTTTTTCATTAATTTATTAACAAGCCGATGTTTCCTGAACAGCCCATTTATTTGATCAATTTTATTTAATATTTAAACTAATTATTTATTAATTATGCATAATTTTTTTTTTACGAAGTATTACTTTAACTATCACCGTCGTTTACATATTATCACTCATACGAGTTTATGTCATTGATGAAATATGAAATGTGTGTGTGATGTGGTGTGTGCATTTGTATATTATAAAACATTTTATGTTCATACAATAATCAAGTTTATACATTTATTTTAAATATTTATGAAGTAATAAAAGTACATTTTCTCTCTCTCTCTTTCTCTCTTTATCTTTAAAAATCCAAAGGAGTAGCTCATTTATTTTTTTATATAAGAGCATTATTAGCACAAATTTTGTACATTTTTTATTTAAATACATACTATTTATATTATGACATCATTTCATTCATCTAAACATTCTATAAAGTAGTAGTAGTAGAAGTAATAATAGGTTATAAGTATAAATGAAGAAATATTTTTGAAAAAAATATCATGTTTCGTTCTCATCCCAATTGAAGTTAATAAACTTCATTGGTTCATGAAGTTGAATCTATTATTATATTTTCAATTGAAAAATAATATATCTAACAACTAACTCCAAATAATATAACGTCAATTTGTATCCTTAAAAAAAAAAAAAAGAAATATTATTTGTGGAAACTATATTTATTCTAAGCGTACATGTCTTCACGATCTGCTCCAACCCCATCTCCATCTTCCAAACTAGAAAAGTTTAAGAAATGTGCCGGTCGATGAACCTCGTGATAAAATTCTTTAGGATTAGCTAATTGTAATTCATATTTCGTGTTTGGATTGTGTCTCACACCTAGACAAAAATATATGATATAAATGTTTGATGAAATAATTTCTTTATATAAATAAAAACGAAATAATTGATAATTTACCCATGAAATTATAATTCCATGATCCTTGATTAGGTACCATAAAGAAACCAAGGAATCTATCGGAAAGAAGCATTTGTACTTTCTCGTAATGACTTGGAAGATATCCTTTAGGATTATTTCCCTTGTCAGTGTTCTGTTTGCCCCATTCGAATCCACTGAAATAAAAATATAAATTATATTTATAAATATTTTGATAAATATATATTATATAGAATATAATTGTTCATACCTTGGAGTTAATTTATAAGCTGTCAAAGAACAAGAACCTGGTGTAAAACTGCATGTAATGACGATTGTTTTTTCACCATCCCAATTTGGATTTTCCGCCATAATTCGTGCGTGTGTCGAGATATCCTTATTAGAAAGTAAAGTAAATAAAACGTTAATAATAAATCAATAATATATTCAAATATAATAAATATATGAATATCTACCTGTGGTGATAACTGTGGCAATTCATTGGGTTGTGTATGTATCCATCCTAGTGGCTCCATTTCTTTAAGGTATTGATGATTAGGTAATGCATTTGGTAAATGTACTGTTTGATGTGTACCCCATTGTGGAGCCATTACTATACATCTAATCTCTTTAACTTGAGGATTATCCGGTGGACTAATACCATATAAATATCCAGCAATTTGTGCTCGTAAATCCGAGATTGTGACAAATTTTTTCAATACATTCTTCGGTAAAATGTATGTGTAACCAGTTTCTTTGATATCATCGGAAGATACATATATATGATTAGTTCTAAGATGTAAATTAGTAGCGGATATAGCTCTAACACGCCATTCTGTTTTAGAACTGAATGTTTGAGTTTCATAATTGGATGTAGTAGCAGTAATAATCTCGTCACCGTGTTTATTAACCGTTCTAGTAGTAGTTGCAGTGAGTTGAGATTGTTCTTTTGTTTGCTTTTCAATTTCTGCAATTTGTTGTCGTTGAGCAGATGGTGCACTAATCTCCATACCTAGAATAATATCTCGAATTTCAGATTGAGTTAGAGATGCAACATTGACATTGTTCTTCTTTCCATAATCAGCCAAAATCAAATCCTTCAATTGCACTTCTACTTTGATCCATTCGTCGTCAGTTAAAGATGGCCATATGTGATGAGGTTCTGTTATAGTTGTTTTATCTGGTTTAAGTACAACCTTAGTACGTTCTGTATTAACGTGTAACGCTCGAAGAATTAAGATTAAACGTGAAAATGCTGTATAAGATGAAATTGTTTTTAACCAATCGTCATAAAGATTGAAGAGAACCATTTGTGGTTCAGTCGCCTTCAGAATAAGATCACCAAACTTCTCAACTTTTAAGCATGCTTGGAAAGGTAATTGAAGTTCTGATCCTTTGATAACGATATTGGGAAAATCTAGTAAATGCACCTCAAGAGGATCCAACATTCCTTTTCTCGTTACAATAATTTGTTTTGGTTGTTCTTCTACTGGCAACGAACGAATAAGAGCTGCAACTTCTTCAGCAGTTTTCCATTTAGCTAATTGTCCCAAACGTTTTTGCCCAGCCCACACAGAAGTGTGAATTATCTTTAAGAACAACTGACCAGTTCTTGGATTAAATATGAAAATCGCACCATTGATTGGTTTTGTAGTCAGATTACCTTCAAAAGTTTTATGTATCGTTACTCGGTATACATTAGTGTCATCGACAAACCAAATGATTTGATTTGAGAATAATTCTCCATAATTTTGAGAAGAAAGATATGGTTCAGTTGGTTCTGATGAATATAATTGTAGAGCTTTTCTAATACGTTCTCGCAATACGTATAACGCTGGATTTGCTTTCATTATTTTTGCCATAGCTTGTTGTATAAGTGGCTTACATCCTGGAAACCAATTACCATATGCACTATGAAGATTATAAGCTAGATCGATAGCTATTAAAAGACCCGTTGGAGATGGATAAATGGACATATTATCTGTTGTATAATCTAAAAATTTAGCCCTTGCATATCTCTCAATATCATGAGAATCATAATCACCCCATCTCAATTGAACATCTATCCAATATTTTTGAGTCGTTGTGTTATCCATGAGATCTTTAGAATCTGCTAATAAAGATGGTCTTGAAACGTTCCATTTGTATGCCGAAAAGAGTAGAATATCAGCACAAGAAGAATTCATCTTATATGATTTCCTTGGATGTATAGTTTCTTTTTGTACAGTTTCAATTTCTAGAGCATCCAATTCTTGATCAAACACTTGACAAAGATCCATGACAATTGATTCGTGCACTTTTTGCCACAAGTGAGCACGGAAAATTTGAATGAGAGATATCTTCAATGTTGGTATTTTACCATGCATAAATATTCCTGTCAAATCTAATTGTACTTGGAAACCTACGTAAACGTTTGCTCTGTTTATAGTGGGTGACCACCATAAAGTAAAACGACGGTTAGGAATTTGATTCAAACCCGATCTTTGAGCATTCGTTAATTTTTTATATTTCATTGATTCTTCAAAACCTGATGCTTTTTCCCAGAAAAGACCTTCCCATGTGGGGAAATAAGTTCCTTTGAAAAGTGTGTGTTCCAGAATTCCTTCAACACCACCTAGGGCCTGAATCATATCTGTCCTATAATTATTCAAATTCCATAACTTTCCATCATGACGTTGATGGGTCCACCAAAATGGATTTTGTTTAAGAACTTGATATTGTTTAAATTCTGTACGTATTCGCCAACCTTTGTCATAAGCAAGGGTATGTCTATCCTTTTGAAACAATGTGTTAATTCTAGGTATACCACGATCCCAACTATCTTCTAAATCTTCTAAAGTAAGTCGACGATTTTGTGTATTTGCCTCTTGTCGTTTCAAGGCATATTCTGCCCAAACACGCTGTGAATCTATAAATTCTGATTCCCATGGTTGAATGTACCTATACAGATTGGGAATCAATTGATCTTCATCGTGACTCATACCAGATCTAAAATGTGTAATACCAACGTCAGTTTGTTTGGACCAACGTAAATCTGATTGAGGAATTAATACATGACCCATAGAAAGCATTCCAAGACCACCCAATTCTTTAGGTGTATAAAATACTACCGGTGGAAACCTTGAAGGCATTTTTGAATTGAGACCAATTTTTATACGTGTCTGAATTTTATTTTCACACTTGACCAATAAATCCAACAATTCTTGGGTATTGACTACTGCTTCGCGGAAATAGGTCATTAAACCTATTAAAGCGGTATTCCATTTATTAACAATTTTGGTAAATGTCGTAGAACCAGAAGCCATCAAAATTTGTCTAACTCTATTGTGGAATCTTTGTAAACTTTCATCATCTACTCTTAAGAAACATTGAGCAGTTCTTTCTTTTGTAATTTCATTTTGCAAATTCCATACTCCATCTCTATGTGTAAATTCTTCATGTGTTGTTCTGCACTTAGGTAAAATTCTACATTCAAATCCACTCATGTTGAACAATAGATTTGGATTGT